CGACATTGGTTTTTAACAGCACCACGCTCCGACATTGGTTTTTAACAGCACCACGCTCCGACCACCTGAACTAAGGGGGGGGGGGGGCGGCGGCATTTTTCTACCTTTGTTTGTCTCTTATTTGCATTTCTTTGCCTCTCCTCAAATGATGGTTTGGTGATGGTAGGATCAGATCTGTGCCATCTTTGTGTCCCAGGGGGCAGCACTGTGCACAGCACAGAAAAGCCCGAGATTTTACTGCCTGGTTATGTTTACTGGGGTGCTTGGCCAGCCCTTTAGCAAACCCAGGACCCCAAGGGACCCAGACAGGTTTACCTATGATTGTCAGCTGGGCAACCTGAGACTTCACAGCCCCAGCATCGCTCTGGGCCTTGCAAAAGTACTCCCCAGCCTGGTCCTGCTGCAGGTTCTTCAACACCAGTTTGCTCTCGTGCTTGTAGAGGGAGGGATCCAGCAATGTGTTGTTGTGGTACCTGCAAGGGATGGAGAGGTGGAGCCTAACTGGGCAGTGGGAAGGCAGCTATCCCTGGGGACAGTGTCAGAAGCAAGCAGCCAGGGAGACAGATAGCCGATGGGTTCCTGCAGATGCAATATCACCTTTGACTCAGCTCACCCAAGAGCACCGATTGGCCTGGGAGTCAAGGCAGTTGGTGCTAAGTCTCAGGCCCCCCACTTATCTGGCTGTGATCCTTGGACAAATCATCTCACCTCTCTGAGCTTCAGCTTGGTCTATAGAAGAGGAGCGATCATCTCTAGCTGACCTCACAGAATTGCTCGGAGGATCAAACAAGATAGTGGCTATAAAATGTTGAAGGGTAAAGATTCGTAGACATTGGAGATTCTGACCTTGTTGCCTTTGTTAGGGGAAGTAGGGCTGTGGAACCTTGTTCTGTCCTGAGGATAAGACAGGCCCCCAGGACGAGAGGTGCTCTGGGGGATCCCAGCTTTGAGTGTAAAACTCAAGGGCTTACTGGTTGTCTGGGCAGCCTCACCCTGCTGGCTCCGATTCATAAGGGCCAACATCCAGGCTCTGTTGCAGTGCCTTACTTGTAATTTTATTCTATTGGTTATTGTTATTTGTAGTAAGATAAAGAATTGTAACACAGCAAGGTTGCTGGCTCAAAGACAGGTTACTGATTGATATGTAAAGATACTGGGAAATTGCTGTAAGAGGAGAATGTTTGCTAAGCTCAGGCTTTTCTTGGTGGATCAATTTAACTTCTTGAAAATTGCATTATGGAATGTCTATTGTTAAACTTGTTAAACTGTACTTAGCAAAAACCCCACCTATGTTCTCTTCCTGTAACTTCCTGGTCTGGAGAATAAATGTGGGAAGAGAACCCCAATTCGTGGTTAATTTCCCAAATGGAAGGGATGCCTCACTTTTGAAGGTTCTGGGAGATTAACCCCTTTTGGGGGCTTCTCACTGCTCCGAAGAGATGGGCTTTGAGTAATCTTTGGCGGCTCCGTCACCCAGGGGAAAAGGGGTGACAAATCCATGGGAGGCAAAGCAACAGTTATTAACAAGTCCAGACCCAATGCAAGAAAGCTCTGGTTTCCAAGAGGAGAATTGGGTAGCATAGCTGGCAGAATACGCACCAGAAATACTTGTCTGGACTGGGCTTCCCCGTGGCCTTACAGCACAGGGACACACTCTGCCCAGCTCTCCGTGCTTTTGTTTCAGGGTTCATCACCATGTATGGAGTCTCTGGGACAAAAGATCAGAGATACTGTTTTGGTTTTTCTTTGCAACGGGTTCTACAAAGCCTTGCTCGCTCAGAGTCTTTGATGCTGTTAAAAATTGTATAGCTTCATTCCCATCCCCAGCCCGTCTCTAATGGTCCTAATACCTAAGGGAACTGGTCCAGAGTGGATCCCACTCCCTCCACACCCTCACCCTGGGACCTGCTCTCATGGCCTCTGAAGAAGCATCTGGGTGGGACAGTAGAGAACCAAGGGGACCTTGTGCCAGCCAAGATTGCTAAGTACTACCATTGGGACAGAACTGGCTGTTTTGAATAGTGCAATGTTCATGTTCTGCTGCCCCCAGCAGGATTGTCTGGCCATTCTGCACCATTTCTGAACTCCCTGTGCCTCTCTATGAACTCCAGACCCCACATTGTATTGTAATTGACTATTTTAGATAAGGTGGCCAGGGAATATCTCATATGCAAACCATGCCAATATCTGGGGGAAGAACACTCTAAGCAGAATACATAGAGCAAGTGCAAAGGTCCTGAGGCAGGAGTGTGTCTGAGGAACAGATAGGAGGCCATTGTGGCTGCATTAGAGTGACTAGGTGTGGTGGGAGTAGGAGAGGAGAGCAGAGAAGTAATGGGGGGCCAAATGATATAGGCCTTGTGGGCCATGATAAGGATATTGGGGTTTACTCTGAGTAAACTGGGAAACCAACTCTTAGCACTGTAATCCCTTTACTTAAAAATCTGGACCTCCTCACCAACCCTACCCCAGAAAACTTCGTTACCTGCCCTCATGAACTCTGCATTGATGGTGGCTGCCTTCAGGCCAGTTTTAGGCATTATGAGCACAATGGGGGCAAACTTGGCCTTTGTGATCTTCAGGATGCTTTTTCCATCGGGGCACAAGCCAGGGACTTGGAACCTCCCGCTGCTGTCTGTCTGGGTCAGTGGCTTAGGCGTCTTCGTCAGCAGGTAGACAGTGGCCCCTGAGGCTGGGGCACCCCCAGGGAGGGAGACAGCCCCATGAAGCATGAAGTCCTGGCACATGCAGGCATCACAGTCAGCATTCACCTGGCCCATGGGGCAGGTTAGGTCACATGCTGTGGGACAAGGGGCCACATCAACAGGGCTTATAGGATTCTGGCCCTCCTTCAGCCACATCCCAGCCTACAGACTCACATATGCTTCCCCTCCTCCTTAGGCCTTTGTGAGACATATGTGATAACCACTACACTATGGCCACTAGCCCTTGGGCCTTTGTTACCTTCTTTATCAGCTGTACAACTAACACCTACTCATCCTTTGAGACTTAGCCCAGGACACCTTCTCTAGGAAACATTCCTGGATTCTCCTAAGCTGTGATAATTGACTCTGCTCTGTGTTCCTACATTATTCTGTATATCCCCCATCAGAGCACGTAATAGAGCCTTAGTTAATTCTTGGTGAGTAAATGAAGGAATCTGTCTCAGGTTGACCCTCTAACCCATCCTTCTAGGCTACTTCAGCCGCACCCTTGGGCTTTGTGAGCACAATGGGGGAAAACTTGGTCTTTGTGATCTTCAGGATGCTTTTTTCATCAGGGCACAATGCCCTGACCAGTTCTGGGAGGGAGGGTGGTACCTTTACAGGCCTGGCGCACGCAGAGCTGGCCTTCCTCAGTGGCCTCAGTGCATAGCGACACTGTCTCTGCCAAACAGGTGCGTGTGCGGGTCTGGACCCCGGTGTGACCACAGGCAGCTGAGCACTTGCTCCAGGGAGACCATGGGCTCCAGATGTGCTCTGTGTCTTGGCGCAGGGACCCTGCAAAGTGGGATCAGCAGATGTCTGACTTCCCTCCCAAGGGGATTCTGTCAGGAAACCTAACCCTAGGCTGTTTCTTCCCTGGTGAGGAGAGACAGGGCCTCCATTTACATCATACATGTCAGATATTTATATTTGCTGCAATGATTTTTCCAACAGATAGAAGTCAAAAGTCTTGAGGAGGTGTTGTCTCTAATTTGCACAAAAGTACCATATGGACTAGGGGTGGCCCTGAGAGGAGCTTGTTGGCCAAGTTCTGGGACTTTATATGCTGTCCTAACATGTGCAAAGATAGCACCATCTTCCTTCACAGTGTGGAAACAGCCACATGCTCCTTTGGAAGGGCTTCCTGGGAAGTAAGAGCCTGGAACCTGCAGTGACTCGGACATCAAGTCCCCTTCTGCCCACCCTCCTCACCTCTGGTCTGAGGCCTATGTGTATGAATGGGGGCCTCAGTCCTTGGCCAGGACACCAGCCTGAGTTCCCCACTTCAGGTGACCACCACTGGCACTTGGGTCTGTGTGGGCTGGTGGAACCCCAAGGGAGGATACCCACCCAAGAAGTGTGCAGGCCTGGTCCCCTCTAACATCTGTATTATCCAGTGGTGGGGGTTGGTGGTGTAAAGAGCAGGGACTCTGCAAACACAGACATGGTTTAAACCCCAGCTGTTAAGTGTTACCAGTATGTAGCTGGTAAGTATGTAATCATGAGAATTTACCTAACCTCTCCCAACCTCATGTAACTAGTCAAGTTGGAGATTCCTCAGAGGTCAGTTGTAAAGGTTGAATAATGTGGATAACTAGCACAGTATCAGGCACATCGGAACAATAATAGAAACTAACAGTGAAACCCAGTTTACCTGGGTTAAGTCCTCTACAATTATTATCTCATTTAATCCTCATCAAAACCCCTATGAAGTTTTACTATTACCCTGTTTACATGTGAGAAACCTGAGGCTAAGAGAACTTTAGAAAATTTGTGTAAGGAACACAGTTCATATAGTAGACTTGGGATTCAAACGCAAGCAGCCCAACTCCAGAACCTGTGGTCTTCACCACTGTGCCATTTGAACTCAATAATATGGATTGAATGGAGGGTACCCATAAACACAGAACACTGTTGGGAAGGTTTGGGTACTAATGACACTCCTTGGTTACTGTTAGAGAGTCAAAGCATGTGTATGTATGTGATGTCCAGAGTTCCTGTGACCAGAGGCAGGTCCTGGTCTCTCCCTGTGCTGAGGCTGCTGGGAGGTAGGGGCGGGGGTCTTTCAGGCTTACCAGGTGGGCAGAGGAAACGCACAGTGTAATTGGAGCAGTTCTGGCCAGGCCGCTGCTCCCTGTTGAGGCACCAGAATCCCTCACGGGCATTGCCATGGACCACCTGGCCAGTGCTGCCTGCAGGCGTCCAGTCAGTGGTCCGAGCCTCTAGCCGCAGGGGACGGGCACATACACGATCCCCATAGTAGAAGCGAATGGCATCCAACCGCTCATAGTCGCCCTGCCCGCCTGGGTGGTCGATGTTGAACCACGTTGTCCACTCACCAGGACCTGAGAGACGGAGCCAGGTTGGGGAGGAGCCATGCCCTGGAGCCCCAGGTAAGCTCTAATTCTCCTTTCCTGCTCAACCCTGGGAATCATGCCTTATACTTCTTACCCACTCCAAGTCGGTCTCAGGCTCTGTCACATTTATCTCGTCAGCATCTCTCCAATCCCCTGTACACCCCTTCTGCCGAGGCCTCCATTCAGGCTCTTATCAGCCTGGCTGAACCATGTCAGTGATGTCCTGCCTGGTCTCTCTACCTAAGGCTCCCTCTGCACCCCATCCCCACCCCCTCCCTGATACTGTAGTCAGGGTAAGCTTTCTCATGTGGTTTGGACCACACCATTCCCTAGCTTAAAAATCCCTTAGGTAGGCATTCAGGGTGCTGGTGAACTGGCCCCTGCTATCTCCCCATCCTCATCTCTCCTCTGCCTCCCACCAGCCTGTGCTCTGGCCCCAGCAAGCTCTACAGCATTACTGGCATATGTCAGGAAGTGTCGTGATTCTGAGTTGTCCTGTATACTAGGTCCCAGTATATCTGGACAGAGATGTAGGCCAAATACCTTGTGAAAGTAGGTTTCCATGGAACGCTGACCTCATGCCCTGGCTTCAGAAATTCACTTAGCAAGCTCAGTAAAGACATCCCCCACTCCGACTCCTCCCTGCTCCAGTCACAACTCACTTTCCAGGGGGTTAGCAGGCTTGGCAAAGGTGCTGGAGGTCCTCTTCCCAGGCTGGACTCTTCTCACCGACTGTGTGAGCATTGTCTGCCTTCCTATGGGCCAGGAAGGGAAGCAGCTGAGAGGTCAAGAAGGAAAGTTACAAGGAGGGCCAGCCCATGGTTCACTTGGGAGAGTGTGGTGCTGATAACACCAAGGCCACAGGTTCGGATCCCTATATAGGGATGGCTGGTTAGCTCACTTGAGAGAGCGTGGTGCTGACAACACCAAGTCAAGGGTTAAGATCCCCTTACTGGTCATCTTTTTATTTTTGACCGGTAAGGGGATCACAACCCTTAGCATGGTGTGGTCTGCACCACGCTCAGCCAGTGAGTGCACCGGCCATCCCTATATGGGATCCAAACCCGCGGCCGCAGCGCTACCAGCGCTGCACTCTCCCAAGTGAGCCACGGGGCCGGCCCTCTGGTCATCTTAAAAAAAAAAAAAAAAAGTTACAAGGGTCTCAAGATGCACGGAAGCAGTGTAATGTGGTGAATGGAACATGATCCCTGGGCATGGGTTCAAATCCCCACTCTGCCACTTACTGCTGTGCAACCTGAGAGAAATTCAGCTGCACCTGTTTGCCCATAAAATAAGGTAATAATCGCTATATCATAGAGTCCTGGTGCATTATTCAGGGTGATAATGAATGTAAAGGGACCTAGCATGCAGTGCATGCTCAGTGAATGGTAGTTGCCTATTCACTGTTGTTCTAGAAATGGATCATCAGATGCTGCTGAGCAGCCGGTGCGCTGGGGCTACAGCTTTGGTGTCTTGATCCATCCCTCTTGGCAAAACGGAGCCTATTTTCCTCATCTGTAAAATGGAGATGTTAATTTCCACCTCACAGGGAACTGATTCAGTTGGCATGAGGATTCCATGAGATAAAATGTAAACATGGTTGAAGTATATAAAGATTGAGACTATGGGCTCCAGAGGCTCTACTACTTCCTAAATGTGTCACTTGGCCATCTTGGAAGTGACACATTTAGGAAGTAGAGCCCCTGGACCCCATCTGACTCCATGTTCTCTCATGATAAAATGAGGATAGTTCCTGCCTTGGAGGATTGTGGGGATTAAATAAGTTCATTCATAAAATGCACTTAGAACAATGCCTAGCACATAGTGTATACTAAGTAGATGTTAGCAAGTTCTTTTAGCTCAATGTTTGGCACAATAGATGTCCTTTTCCTTTCCCCTGACAAAGTTTGGCTTTGGGAGCCCACCCTCCTATAAAGGACTCAAATGGCCTAATTGAGACAGTGGTCCTCAATTTTCTGACCTCAGGTTGGCTGGGTCTACCTGAGGATGAGTACAGAGTCCTCAGGCCACAGGCAGTTCCAGCTCTACCCTGCCTGAGGCTGAGAAGGAGAAAGGAGAACAAAGGGCTGCAAAACTGTGAAAGGCAATTAATTCTCCCACAAGGAGCCAATTCAGAATTCTCTATGCTGCTTAATTGGGGTGATAGGAGCTCTTTTAATCAGCCTAATCTGATTTCCCCTCAGATGGTTGAATGTTAATCATCTTCCCAAACAGCAGCTGTCAGGATGGAATGAGCAAGGCAAGAGGTGGGTACACACGGGTTGGTGCAAGGCTGAGGCAGCCTTTGTTCCTGCACCTGTGGTCACAAAGCCTGCAGGGCATGCAGCTTTAAAAGAGAGTTTTGAGCATTTTTTGCTTTACCTGAGTATGTGGTTAGAAATCAGGAGAGAAAGCGGAGGTGGGAGAGAGTGTGCAGGGTAGTGCTGCTAAAAGCTCTGATGCTTAGATGCCTCAGGAAGTCGCGGTTCCACCAGACAAATTCTACCTGTTCCTTCCAAAGCTCGGTGTTACCAGAGGGATAGGGTCAGAGGGTAAGGAAAGCAGAAGGTGTTCTGGTGTGTCTGTGAAATTTGGCTGTGGGGTCTAAATTAAATTAAGCTATAGGCTATAAGAATTTTCATGAAACTAAAAGCAGACCAAACCCCAAACCTACTTTTGAGAACTCCTTGATCCACTGTGATTCCCTTTTTCTTTGGCACTCAGGAAGCTCAGAGCTAAATTTAGTACTCAGGGGTAGTAACCCTCTTTTCCCCTCTCTCTGAATGACAGCTTATCTTTCCCCTCACTTAAAAGGTTCTGTGTGTGAGTCTTAATATTGGGAACTATCTCAAATTGGGGGGAGAAACAAGCAGGGTATAAATTATGAATAAATCTATAAAACACCCTCAAGTCTTGAGGCAGATACCTATTTGTGTCTCAGACAGACATGACTTCACTACGGCAAGTGGGGGATTTGGGAGCTAGAAGATACTTAGCCTGTACCCAACACAGATGTGACTGTCAGGACCAGGAAGAACATCCAGGCCTTGGTCCCCACCATCCTTCCCACACGTCCTGTGGGAATGTGGCAGAAGATGTGAGAGGGTGGTTCACAGAGTCAGCCCCTCTCTGGAACGTGGTCCCCTGGGAAGTTTCTCAGATCCAGTGACCTGCAAAGAAACAAATCTTGTCAGGTTCCACATTTCTGAGTCATCTCTTATTACTCGAGGAGAAATATTTCTTGACCTGTCAAGGATGGAAGGGGGACAGAATGAAGTCTTATGGGAGTGACATCTGCCCAAATTGCAAAACTGAGCAGCTTGGGAAGTGGAGAGATTCAGAATCTGAGTTCAAAAAAGGCAGATCTGGGGCCGGCCCGGTGGCGCACTGGATAGTGCACCGCTTGGGAAGCGCGGCGGCGTTCCCGCCCGAGGGTTTGGATCCCACATACAGACCGGTTCCCGCTCACTGGCTGAGCGAGGCGCGGGAGCAACACTGAGGGTTGCGTAATAACTTCGTATAGCATACATTATACGAAGTTATACGATGGGGAAAAATGTCATTGTACCCACCAGAGTCATACTAGGAATTTTATAAGAAGCAGGAAAAACACCCTTAACCTTTTGAACACCTTTATGGTTTATGGTAGGGCATTTTTGACCAGAGGGAAGCACCTGATATCTTTCTACTTGAAGTGTTCTTGTTATGTAGGTATAAGCTCACTGTTTCTACTCTGCTCTCCACATACACATTTAACCGAAAAAGGAAAAAAAAAAAAAAAAAAAAAAAAAAAAAAAAAAGGCAGATCTGAGTTCCAACCCTCAGTCCAGGCTCCAGGGCCTCACAATGAGATGGGGCACAAGGGAGAGTAGGGGTGAGGAGGTTCCTTGCCAATGACAAGGGGCCAGGGCTCACTCCCAGCAGCCTCTGGGTGACTCATTAACCACTTCCAAGACTTGGGCTTGGGGGCATTGGTTTTACTTCCCTTAGTTGGAGCTCACACGCTTGCACAAGGGGCTACATATTAAGGCTGTGCAGCCCTATCCCCAACTACAGAGGCCCCTCATAGGGCAGGCAGGCTGGTGCAGATACCTCAGACACACCACCTCCATGAACACATTACCAGATGTGCACGGGCTGCAGCTGGAACACATTTTTGTCCTGTTTGTTTGGGGCCTCACTGGGAGTTACACAGCCAGGAGCCAGCTGAGGAAAAGCTGAGGGGACACATTATGAGAGGCCAGGGTTCCCCAGTAACTGCTGAGTGTGGGTTAGGGGCTGCAGGCCTGGGAAGAGGAAAGCAGACCTGGCAATAACGGCAAGGAACCATGGGGTGTTCATGGCCCAGGCTCCAGCTCAGCAGGACATTTTAATCTCTCCCCAGAGCTCTGACCAACCCAGAATCTAACCAGTTCCTGGAGATTCAAAAATGGTTCTCTTCAGCCTCCAAAGTCCAGGGTGTGGTAGGAAAAGGCACATTCTTCTTCTTTGGAAGAAAGATCCATAAACACTTGGATGTCCCAGGGGAAGAAAAACCCATCCCCCACTGCAGACCATCTAACTCTAAAACCACTAACTCCACCACCACCTGTTTCTCAGATGAGGGAACAGAGTCACAGGAAGTCCCAAAAGTCTCCAGATATTGCCTGTCTTACTCCAAGCTCCTGGGCTCTGAGCAGGGAGCTGAGCGGTCCAAAGGCCTGTGCAGCGTTCAGCCTGAGCCTGCTCCAGGGCTGTCTTAGAGCCCAAAGTGTCCTGAAGCACCTTGTGGAAAAACCATTTCCCATCTGGCAGCCCACGGAGGTTTCACAGCATCCCCGCCACTTCCTCAGCATATGCCCTGACGGTTAGGCTCCCCATCCCACGCTCCTCACAACTCTTGGACAAAGCAGACTGGCTGACCGCAGGAAAAAAGCAGGGCACCGAGAGGTATAGTGACCCTAAGTGAGACTATTTGGGGGTTCCTGACATCAGGTTGGGGAGGGAGAGGACTTTGGGCTAATGGGGAGAGAGAACTTCAAAGCAGAAAGAACTCCTCCCTGTGGGAGAAGAGAGGTCAGCTAGCAGAAAAGAGAATAGGGGTGGTCAGAGGAGGACAGGAGCAGCGGGGTGCAGGGATGGGGTGAAGGGAATGGAAGTGGAGCTCACCGTGTCCTGAGCAGGACTCCTCAGCTCAGGGTCCAAGTCTTCGCCTCTCCAGCAGTCCAGCCGCGGACCTTATATAGCACAGCTGGTGGCTCAGCCTGTGGCAGCCAGCCACGGGAAGCAGCAGCGAAACTAGATCTGAGCATGAACCTCCCCCTCCCCTTCCCACGTTCGCTGCAGCTCACAGAGGCTGGGATTTCATGTCCAGATCCTTAGAGGGAGATGTTGCAGGGCCTAGTGATGGGTCAGGTGGGCAGCTGCCTGGGTTCCACAGGCCAGAACAGAGAGAGAGGGGTCAGGAGATGGGGTGGGCACTGGGAGCAGCCCTGGGAAGGGGCCAAGGGGAATTCTACATCTGGGTAGCATTTCATGGCTCAGGGGATGGTGTGCTCTTGCCTAAGATTTGCTTTTGGATTCCCCACTTTCCCCTGGCCCTGGCCCGCCCATGGAGAGAAAGGACTTTGCTGGTCTTAGCACATACTCCAAATTCTCTTAGGCACACACACCACCTTGGCCTCTCATCTGGGTGTGTCTGGTCTCAGCTGGGCAACAACTCATCTTCTCCAGTCTCTGAGGAATTTAGGAAACCTCACAAGGGA